ACATAAAACGGAAAATTTCAAATACAACGGAAAATTATCATTGTTTTTGTCGTTCGTATTTGACAACAAACATTTTTTCAATGGCTGGATTATTTCATTTGTTTTCTGCAAATATTTAACATAATTAGGCGTAAGTATTTCGTATAAATTCTTAAAAAGTTGGTCTTTATTAATTTTCATTGGAACATCCAGTTTGATTATTACCAATAATTGTTCACGTAGATCTTGTAAAGTGTATTGTATATCATCGTTATTTGTATCAGTCATGTTAGACAATGAAAACATTCGTGGAATGTTTGGTGACAACGAATCTTCAGCTAATTGTTTTGTTAATGACAGTTGACATTGCTGTTTATCAAAACCGGATTCAATATCACGTACGAGTAATACTTGACACTTGTCCCGTGGCAATGCTCGTAGAACATCAGAGACAAATTTCATGTTTTGCTCCAAAAAACTTTGACTAACATGAATCAAAAATCCTTCAAACAACGAACAGATTTGTGTTAATATTTGTTGTGGTATTTGTCCATGACTATCGGCCAGATTAAAGGATCGTTCAGGTATAAATGCATATCCAAAATCAATATCAATTCCATATTGAAAATAAACACTATCAATATGTCGTTCAAATGTTGATTGAAATAAGATATTTATCAACGAAGATTTTCCACGACATGGACCAACACCAAATGATAACAATGTGGGTCGTGTCGTATTCCAGACATGAATAATTGATGACACAACTTCATACTTGGTATTTTCACCGCTAAAATTATCGATATTTGGTTCAATAAGTGGAACTGGATTACGTTTACTAATTAATGACATAAGTGTACGACGTAAGAAAATATCGCTATTTAAAAGTAAAATATGTAGAAATGCACGTAAATTTAAATTCATTGCGTTTTCTTTCGAGGTTAATGTTGATTTTGATTGTTCACGTTTTCTCTTTTGATAAACAAATGTTAATGTTTTCATAAAATCATCGAGATTTTGTTGACGTTTTAATAGAAACATTGTTGGATATAGAGATTCACCAATAAATTGAGAAAATGTGATATGTTCATTGTAAAAGCGATCGACCATCCCTTCGCAAATGTTTCTTATAGTTTTATTAATATATTGCAACTCACCGGCTTGCATTAGATGCTGCAATTGTAAAAGTTCTGTGTTGATACATTTCTTAGCGAGTGTAACTTCAATATCTGCATCTGTTGTCATAGACAATATTGTTGAATTTGATGCCTTAGATGTTTCTGGCACAGATGAAGTATTTGTAGCAATCCCTTGATTTTGCGATGGAACAGTTGTATTGGGTGAATTTGCATCAGACTGATTTTTTAGAGTTGATGGTTCTAAACGGTTAAGATAAAGGTAAATTTGTACTACTTTTATGTCAAATATAGCACAACGATAGTCAACTTAGGCTCATATACTCTATGAATATTTCACAATATATACTGTAGCTAACGAAAATCTTTCCAAACTAGGTTAGTACACTATCTGCTAAAAACGATATACATTTTTGTAACTCAGTTTAATTTCTGATATGAACTCCAACTAGTTAGAGAACTGCCCTATGTTGAGAAAGATGTTTCAGTATCTTTTTTAATATTGGCAGCCTATAAAAGAATATTTCATTTTTCAAGTTCATGTATTGTAAAATAATTTACAATTCTTTATATGTCAAATGATTCAATGAGAACCCTTGAAATACGGATTTAGATCTACACAGAGCATGATCTTAGTGATTTATTCATATCCCTCCAGTTTGTGCTTACCTGTATATTTTGTGTCCGCTGGTGGTTTTTTCTCGATAGTTGCCGTTACTGGTATCGAAAGTGACGGTTCAGGCAGTTTTGAAGATGTTACCGAAGAACTTATCATATTTTTAATTGTTTTCTGAAATGGTTCGTATTTCACTGGTGGTATCTTGCTTTTTACACTCACAATACCATCTAACCAACCCATTTTAGTAACACTATCTGCTACTAGACTATATAATAGATTTTTTGCGTCAGGAATTTTATGTTGTTTCAATAATTCTGGTACTTTTTCATAATAATATATACGTAAAGCCAAATATAAAGGTGAATTAGAATTATCCAGTTGTTCATTTAAATCGTCTTGACAAATGTATTGATCAAATTTTTTACAACCTTGCAATCCTTCGTTTGTAACAGCAGTCAATAAATCACTGAAAACATTTTCATTTTTCAAACATTCATCATCAATACTTGAAAACAACAGTTGTAGGACGACGGATAGAATTGAAGATGATTTCGTATATTTTCTACCATATTCAGCTGTATGTCGTAGGACAGCTTCAAAATGATCATTATTTTCATCTTTTGTCTTGGTAATAAATTCCCAGATTTGCGGCTGATTTATACAAGCTGCCTTCCATCGTTGAAAAATATGCTGCTTGAGAAATTCCAACAAAGCAGTTTCTTTAGGTGATTCAGATGCAATAGCTGAATTATCAACAGTATCGATGATTATTTCAGCAGAATAAACTTCAGGAACGAGAATGCCTTCATATTTGACTAATGCTTGACGTCCATTGTTTAAAACATTCGAAATGATCTCATCTTTCTCATCAGTAAATTCTAATTCCAAAAATTCACAAATTTTTTCTGTTGTATTAGCATCGATCGGCGTACTTGACGTTACAATTACACTGGACGCTGTAGAACTTTCATGTAAACTTGTGACAGATGAGATATTCGAAACATTGTCGAAGTCGGCATATGAATTGCGCAAAGCCATAGTAGTTTCGAACGTCGATAAATTCAGCTAGTACTACAACGAGATATAGTAGGTTTTAATTATAAAAACAAATTTATAAACTCACCAGACGGTTCTTTATTTCTATAAAGAAAGAATCAGTGGCGTCAATATAATACGTTGTAGATAAAATTCAATAGATCTAAATAAAAAAAAGGTTATTATTCGTCTATAATAAAATGTATTGTGAAATTAGAATTGTTTACATCGTTTATGTGTAGAAAAATATGGATTATATAAAGGAGAGGAGGTTGCTTATCTGAGGGAAAAAAACAACACATGATTCATGAATAACGATAAGATAACACACATAGAAGTACAACGTCCAGTGACTATCAAAGGAAAAAAATAAAGATAAGTTATAAATAGAAATAAAAAAACCCAAACATATATAATGTCTTTAAAAAGAAAGAACAAAAGGGTGAAAAGAAAATACATATTAACAGCACGAAAAATAATGAGAACACATTAGTAGGATCTAAATGTTACCTGACGGTATTCAAGCAGATCATAATATATTTGTATTACTCTTCTTTGTTGGGAGACTGTAGAATTTTTTCTAAGCAAAACTCAGAATTCTGTAGAATCGCCCGTATTACATATAGCATGAAGTCTAAACAAACCTATAATATGAGTTCTTTAACTAGCAGATTTTAAATCGACATTCTATACTCTTATTAGAAGAATATCTTAGACAAATATAACTCTTACCTTTGCCAACCAAAACTCTCTTAATAATTCCAAATAATCAGCAGAATTTAATCCAAAATTCTATACTCTTATCAAAAGAATAGGATGTGGGTGCGGATATGCGTGTGGGAGGTTGTGGGCAATTAATAAGAAGAATACATACACCCACACGCTCACCTTCTAGATGGAGTACTGTTGTTTTCACTGTTCGAAAGGATGTGGATGTGAATAGAACATTAATAAGAGGATGTCGGTGTGGGTGTAAATGAGATAAATAAGGTACACCCACACCCTCAAGAAATTTCAGCATCAAACCGATTTTATAAAAACGAAATTTTCTGGGTCACTTAAACGATCAAGACACTTGTAAGATATAAGAAAAGTCTGAAGTATCCTAAATATTGTACAATTGACTGAACAAAAGTGACGATATCCAATTTACCATCCATAAAACTATATTGTCTTGAAAGCGGTTTTAAAACAACTGAACGTTTACTGCTGTTACCTAGGAGCAAGTAACTTTCGGATGTCAAAAGTCCTCGGCACTGTCTATAGACATACGATAAACGTTGGAACGACCACCGCGACGTTCCCAAGGAAAAAACGACTTACTGTAATGACTATAAACAACATATACCACCAAACAAAAGTCTTTCCATCGTCTTTTATATTATGCCATCATACTTCACATCAGATTTATTTCCAATAAAAAATATGATAAGAGTTTTATTTCAGTTTGATCTGTATATGAAGCTGAAATAAAATTCTTATATTATATCTTGAATTGGTAATAAACTTGATGTAAAGTGTGATAACATAGAAAAAAAAGAGGGTAGAGGCTTTTGTCCGTGGATATAGATCAAGTTAGTAGCGGATTCGAATAATCTCACAGTGTGGATATGAGTATGGGTGACGGTATAAGTGAGTTTAAATACGATATAAATATGATATTCACACCCTTTCCACACCTACACCCTCAAGATTGTTTATTCTTTTTCGATATTATTTAACTTATTTTCAATGAAATAGATATATAGTGGGTAAATAATATAATTATTTTTTTTAGGTGGTAAATATAACAAATTCGTTCTTGAAATTGTTTTCAAAGTTATCCATTTACAAAACTAGGAAGTTAAATATTATTCGAATACAATATAATAAAATTATATTAACTAAAATAAATAATAATTCAAGTTTATTTTATGTAGATAACAATTGTTACCTTTGTCTTTATTCTGATTGTATCTTCTCAACGAGCCGAAGATACGTATTATTGGAGCATATGAAAGAACTACATCAAGATTTTTTTCGACGATTTGATTAAAGAGAGTGCGGGTGTCTCTCTTTTATTCTCAACTACACCTACCCCTCCCGCACCTCACATCCCATACCTACCCCGACACCCTCATAACGATGAACTGATTTTAAATGATAATATTTTAAAATCGAATATCAATGAAGCAACATCACCACGAAATAATAGCCCACAATCATTAGCTGATAGATTATCCTGTAAAGAGATGTTAAGAATCGCAACTGGTGATAAATTACCATGTAATAATCCATTACGGTTTAATAGGAAATTACCAAATCATATATTATTACCACTTGATGAAAGTTTAGAAAACGAAAACGTATTGTCGTCTAATGATCATTTTCCAATTAACGATTTACTCTCATTTGATGATAATGATATAACAAATGATAATGAATCATCAAATAACGATGATTTACCAAGAAATATTACCAGTTTATATGAAGAACAAATAATCTGTAGAAGGGAATATGATATTAAAATCACCAAAACTCGTCGTACATTACAAAAAATAGAAAATGATCTTAATGAT